TTTAAAAAAAGAAATGATAGGTTGATGATGTGCAAATGCTAAGAAGTATTATATGTTTGATATTGTTGAAAGCTCAAAAAAAAAAAAACCCAATAAACTAAATGTTAGCATAAGGCATCAAGTGCCTTGCTGTCATTATTTCACCATTGCATGTATCTCTGGTTGCATGAATTTTATTTTTACATGTGTTCTCATAGACTGGCATGAGCAAAGTCCAATAAAGTACTTTGCCCTATTGTGGTGATAAATATTTACTTTAGGCGGGAGAGAAGGTACTGCTGCTCATCTAGGACACACCTACATGGATAGAACCAGGTACACAAAGACCTCTATAGATGTTTCTTTGGAAATTGCTACCTTTGACCTAGTCTGCCATGTTGTAGCCCCAGAAGAGAAAGGTGAGAGAGACAAGGAAGGGACTAAAAAATTTTCCAAAATTGTCAGAATGTCAGGGTTTTTACTCCTGCATCTTGGTGTGCTCAGTATTTGTTGAAAAGCAAATGTTCTGGGGTGCCTGGGTGGCACAGTTGGTTGAGCGTCTGACTCTTGGTTTCGGCTCAGGTCATGGTCTCAGGGTTGCGGGTTTGAACCTTGAGAAGGGCTCGGCATTCAGTGCAGATTCTGTCTCCCTCTGCCCCTCCCCCTCCTCTCTAAAAATAAATCTGAAAGAAAGAGAAAGAAAGAAAGAAAGAAAGAAAGAAAGAAAGAAAGAAAGAAAGAAAGAAAGAAAGAAAGAAAGAAAGAAAGAAAGAAAAAGAAAGAAAGAAAAGAAAGAAAGAAAAGCAAATGTTCTGCCTGAATGAATTTGTTTTCCCTAGTTGTCTTAATAAACAGTAATTCCTACTGACATCTTAGGAGCTAGAACTAAACTGCTCTACCTAATGGGCGGTTCCAGTGAGGGAGTCTGGAATGTGTAATAAGTGTGGTAATCATGTGAGACACGACATCATTTGTTTTTGGTTTCCCTTTCTTTCCCTTTCCCTCTTGCCCAAGCTATTAACAATCCTCCTGTCAGGCCCCATATGTGCTGATGTTCTATCTTCTAGTGTCTTGATATAATCAGCTTTGTAACAGTGGTTCAATTATTCTAAGACAGGTGAATTGAGAAGTTACTCCTTTTCATGTGACTTTGCCTGGTAAGAAGGAATAATAACACATTGAGTCAGCTTTCCTGGATTAGATATAATACAGCATGTTTGTGTCCACATCTAGCTCCCATTCTAAATTTTAGCTTGCAAAAGTCACTCTTTCCCATTCCATAGGTATCATCCATGATACTTGAAAGTTGCTAGCTCTCAAGTTTAATTTTTACTCTTGAAAGAAAATACATTCAAATCCTGCATGCAGAAGGGAAATCTTATGCCATTTTCCAGAAGAGGATTTTCCATATGACCCCTTTGTTTTCTTTTGTGGCTTTCAGTGCGGTTCACTGCCACAGTGAATGGTAGAGGATGGGTCTGGATGTGGTCCTGGTGATTTTCATGTAATCAAATAAGATCCGATGTTGGAAGTCAGAGATAATTCTATTGATTTTGGAAGAGAAAAATAGTCCTCCACAGTTGAATTCGATTAAACATATTACTGCTGTGTAGAAGGTTGTAGAGGTGGTCTTTAGAAGTTAAGGACTCTGAAGGACTATGGAAAACGAAAGAGTAAGATTTTTTTTTTTTTAATTTGTTCATGGAAGATGTCTACCTACAAAAGGAACCATATCTATTTTATCTTTCTTACTCTAATACTAGTATATCTTTGACATGCAGATCACTGTGTTAGTTGCTAGGGGAAAATAACTGAGCAAAATAAGTCAGGCCCTGTTCTCATGAAGCATACTGCTTAGCAGGGAAGGCCATAGGAAGTAAGAAAATAATTCCATAAGTAATTATTTAGTTAAATTTTTATAAATGCCAGGAAGAAGAAGTACAGGATTTTATAAGAACAAATAATAAGTAACCTAACTGACTTGAGTCTGTGGGGTCAACAGGCTTTTTTAGGGGAATGCATAAATGAATGATACTTGAACTTATATTTTAAGGATAAAGCAAAATTAAGGAGTCAAAAAAGTAAGGAGCTGCAATATAAGTGGAGATAGAAGGTGGGGAAGAATATTCGAATTCTTCTTCAGTCTTTCTGTGGTCTGTTGTAGTATCCTCTTCCTTTACATGGCCCTTAATGTATATCTTTGATTTCAGTTCTTCTCTATTAACAGCATACCAATGTACATTTCTGGCCAAGATCTTTCTTCTGAAGACCTAATAACTCCTCCAAAAAGCCTTATATGAGCTACATGTTGAACACATCCAAACTGAGTTCATATCCCTTATATCTCCAATGCCTACTTCCCCTGTATCTTGGCAGGGGTGTGTCCCCACCCACTGAAATCAGTTGGCGGATGCCCAAGTCAGAGCTCAAAGGTTCAACCTAGATTCTTTTCTCTCTCCATTGCCCCCACATTCCAACCAGTCACTTTCCTTCTGTCTGTCCTTAACATTGCTATGCCTATTTTAATTTGCCTAGTTCAGGAGAATTGCATTTGTGAACTATTCACTGTAATAACTCCTTCACCTTTCTTCATACTTTAGGAGATGTACCTTTCTGATGTGAAAATCTAATTACCTCTTGCTTATAATTTTTTTTTTTATTGACTGGCCAAAGCATACAAGAAATATTCCAAAAACCTTTGCATACTATACCAGACCTTTCATGATCTGGTCCCTGTCTAACTTCTTAAGCTCTTATCCTGCTATCCCTGTACCCTTACTATTGTGCTCTAGTAACTCTGAATTGCAGGCATTTCCCAGATGCACACATTTCCTCTGTAATGCCCTTCCTTAGATTGTTAGCCTCACTTTTTTTCTAGTGTCAACTCACATATTATCTCTTCGACAAAACCTTCTCTTATTCTTCCAGGTAGATTGAAATGTACCTTCTCTCCTGGTCCCTCTGTATTTTGTTTACGTAACTAATGTGGATGGTCTCCTTAGTAGACTGAGATACCCTATATCCAAAGCATGTTGTCTTTTTCTCTTTATCTGCTTCACATCTAGTCCAGCCCCAGGCTCTTTTCTATTTTTATTTGTGGAAAAACAGCACTCTCCCATCTCTGTCTCTATCTCTATCTCTATCCTGTCTCTGTCTATCTTTCTAATCTCAACCTACAGCCCCCTTCAACTACTACTCTAGCCCCTTCCTTTTGTCCGTTCCTCTTATACTCCTCTTGCCTTAGCCCACTGCACTCTGGTTTCTACCTCTGCCACTCCACTGAAACTGTTGAGTCCATCACTGGCATCCTAGTTTTTAAATTCACAGGGTACTTTCTGATCATTATGTTACTTGATTTCCTGGCCACTTGACATTGTTGCCCATACCTTTTCCTTTAACAGGTCTCCTTGCTTAAATTCCACTCACAGCTGAGTTTACCTCAAAGCATTTGCCTGCTCCTTTTGGTCCTTTCTCCAGTTTCTCTTCCTTAGCCATTTATTAAATACTGCTGTTTTTCAGGTTCTGACTTTGTCCCCTTCATTTCTGCCTCTGTATATACTCACCAGGCAATCAGATAGCTTCCTATGAATTTAGTTTCCTCTATCTGGTCCTGTACCTGTGTTCTATTATGAAACAAACTACAATTGTTGGAAGTCATTTATTGACTTTTCACTAATTAAAGATGGAATCCAAAGCCCTTGATACCTAAGGCATATATTAGGAGGGAAACATCACTACAAGGTCTTCATTTGTTTACCAGCTCTCTCTCCTAAGCTTCAAATTCTGCTTCCTGGCCATGGTCATTCGGGAATCCCTGGGGTACCTCAAACGGAATGTGTCTGATGTTGAATTTGCTATCTTCCCCCAACATATGCACTTCCTCATCTGTGTTCCCTGTCCACAACTTCTTCCTCTCCTGTATCCCCTCCCATCTTGGTATCTTTGAAGATTATCTACTTCTCTTCATTCATTCACCATTATTCTAATTCAAAGCACTGCCTTCATATCTTGATTACTGACCACTTCCAGTGGTCTCTCTGTCAGTCTAATCTTGCTCCTCCAATTCGTTTGGTACATTCTGCAATTAGAGTGATATATCTAAACTGAACCTATCTCACTCTCTCTTGTTTAAACCTTTTCAGTGTTTTTCTGTTGTTCTGAAGACAAGTTCAATAACTGTAAAAATGTTTTATGAGCCCCTTTGCTTTCTGGCTGTGCATGCTTTTTAAGTTCACTCATACTTTTTTTCTTCACTTGCCATTTACACCCACATTTTAGCCATGCCGAATTTACATCAGTTCCTTGTAAGGCCAGGATAACTCAAGACCATCAGTATGTGTTTTAGTGAGTCTGAAATACTCTTCACCTTTACTTCATCTAGCTCACTCTTGCTTGCCCCTCTGGCAGCAACTCTGCTGTATACCCTGGCTTGCCAAACGTGGACTGGATGTTCTTTTCCTAGGGAGATGATCAATATATACTTTAAAATTGATATTGAATAAATATAGTTGGAATTTAATGAATAGTAATTGAAAAAAACGGATGCCTTCCAAATTCATATGTCCAATCTGGGCTGACATTTTCAAACATCTGGTGAGCATTTTCATGAGTCTAATTGGCACTTCTGGCTGAATGGCCAGTGGGCAAATGAATCCATTAATTTCTGCCATACACCTGCTTTTCTTCATCTGTTTTCTGTCTTCCTCAAATTAACTAAAACCATTGAGGTCATTCACTGGCTTTTTACCATTAGAAAATCAGATTTCTCTATATCTAAAGCATATTATATGGAACTATCACTTAAGGGAAATTGTATATTTCATTTTTGTGTGTGTGAGCAACTTAAGTTAGGGAATAATCATTTTTGAGAGGGAATTTTTAGTCTGAGATAGTTTTTTCCTGCTTCCATTAACCATACCAAGATGTTATTAGCAATGTGCATGCGTGAAAATCTTATCATTAGTAGCTCAAAGCTAAACATCACCAGGCAACGTACTTAGGTATATTTTCTCCACAAAAGCATATGGTGTTTTCCAAAGCCAAATCAGATCTATTTTGGGGGTTCCATTGGACTTCAATTTTGTGTGTAGTTTTTGAATTCAGGTCTTTCAGAAGGATGGGATTCAATTAAATTATTAAAATTCAGAACAATAAAATGAATAGGTCTTCAGGTGTTTTTTTCCCCCATAACATAGACATAACTAAATGTTTTTAGACAAACACCTTTTTGTACATGAATCATATCAAACAATACTTAATTTTACCCAAATGTTGCAGTTTGACCTATTGTACATGTCTGTCTTTCTCACCAGTTCCTTAAGGGCCAGGCTGTGTCTAAACCTTTTAAGTTTAGAGCCCCCAAAATGTTCTTCTTTTCATGCCACAGGGTAGCTAATTAAGAATTTAAATAGATTAAATTTGAATTTTAAAGGTAGGGAGGCCTTGGAGATACCAAATCCTTATACAGACTAGGAAACTATTCTAGGAAGATTACCTAAATTTATACAGCTTGTTGGAACAGAGTTGGGGTAGAACTCAGGTCACTGTATGAACCCAGATTTTGTATGTAATAGAATAGTACTGTCTATCTTTTGGAAGCTTACTAAGTAATTATTTCCTAGCTGATGAAGATGTAAAAGAAAACTATTATCTGTCTGGTTTGTCTTTGAAATTAATATCAAAAACCATTTGGGAAACAGCTCTTGAATATGTTCAATGTTTATTTTATTTCCAACCTGATATATGCACACATTCATTCTATATTTATATTTCATAATTAATGAACATTGTTTGCCATACTTGCAGTGTAAATGAATCTGAACCTTCTTTTGAAGCAACCAGAAGGTATTATTTCTATTTTAATCTGCGTTTAATAAGAATAACTTTCTTCCTCAGACTTTACTTAATACTCAGTCTCTTACTCCTGGTCATTTTATTCATTCTTATAGTGTATGAAGTTTTTATTAAAATGTGCCTACATATTTCCAAAAGCAGTGGTTCCCAACACTTATAGGCTGTTAAAAAATTAACTTGCCAAACAAAATGGCCCATTGTGTCAATGGTTTTCCTCTCCATGATTCACAAAGTTCTCAACTTTGGCTGAAATTCAAACTGTTCTTTCTTAGCAAATTGGTTTTGGGACTTCATAAAATAAAAATGCAAGAATATGTATATTGTTTATGAGTTAAACAGTGATGGGATCTGTCCATAAACTAGAGATAGGAAGACTGGGGGGAGGGGAAGCAGACATGTCAGAAGTTGGGAACCACTGTTTTACTGTACATATGGTTATCTAAGAGACTACTAGCATACTGTGTATCATCATGTCTTTTAAACTCCTAAGACATAATGTTTCAGGATAATCACTGAGAATTTCTAATTACTCTTTTTCTTAACCTTACTATCTTTTAACCTTGATTCCTTAATTAGTACTTACAGACCATGAACTAACTGTGGAAGTGTGACTTTAAAGCTGACCCCTTTCTTACCCCAATCCCATCGTATTCTTTATCTTCAACTCACATGTATTTGTTACTGCAAATTAAAGTCTGATATATAGACATCTGGTAGAATTTGCAAGCATAAAAAAAAAAATGGGGGAGGAGGAAGAGGTTATAATTTTTTAAAAAATAAACTATTTCAATATGTTTTGAAATATGTAGTTTTTAGATGTGTGTTATTTCAATATTAAAATGGACTCCTCAATATATTATTCTTTGTTTTGAAATAATTATATATTACCTATTATCTTAAAATATGTTAATGTGATTAAGCCACAGACACAATACCAATTCATGTCTTTTTCTAAGGTCTGCATATAAAATTAATAATTACGTAAAGTGCTTTTAATAAAAAGTAAAAAGCTGTGGCAATCAGGGAGAGTGTGTTGCTATTTATCTTTTAATTATTTTTAAAATTACAGTCATTTTAGAAAGTAAATTTTCAATTTATTTAAACACTTCTTTAGCAAAGCAAAATTAAATTTTGCACATTGGGAGACATTTTGATTAAATTCAAATCCTTTTAATTTAGGTGAAATACTTAACCATTAAATAATAAGGTTGGTGGTTATTAAAATGTTCTTTCTTGGAAGTTTCCATTTCTGTGTCTGAGATATTTTATCAACTTTTATTTTCCTTAGTTTTACTAAAATACACACAGCACAACACCCTGGTATAATTTTGGCGTTTTGTTTTTCTTTTCCATTTTCCAGTAGGAACAGGTATTCTGTGGCTTATGCAGCTCAAAAGCCTTGGCTATTAAATGCTACAGTAGAAGAAAATATTACCTTTGGAAGTCCTTTCAACAAACAGAGGTAATTTGGAATGTATAAAATTTAGAACTAAAATGAGAAACTATTTCTAATCCTTATGTTTGGTCCATGGGAACCTTTATAGCCATGACTTCCTTTTTCCCTGCTTGCCTGCCTCCCTCCTCACTACCAGGTCTTCTGAGTCAACTTTTTAAAGAGCAGTCTTAGTGGAAGTCTCAGCCCATCTTGTACATTTATTGAGAACAACTTGTACACCAAACTAAACAGCTGAAATGGAATTGGGGGGGCAGGGGGAGTTACTGAGGTTATTGGTAAGTAGAAGGAAAAAAGCAAGGAGCAGAAGGAAAGTTACTGATGGAAAGAAGAATAATGTAGGATCTGAGAGGTCTAGTTACTGAGAGCAGCCAAAATACGCCATCTCTCAACCATCTTTAAATACCACCAGAGTGCACAAAGGCATAATCCTTTCATGAAGCCATCATCTCAGGACTGAGTCTTAAAACCCTAAGTCAAACCTTGAAAGTTAAGAATTAGGTCAGGGGAGAGGCATGAGGAGGGGAGGGAAGAGGAAAGCAGATAGTGTGGGAGGAAGAACCTAAATTACATGGGAACATTTGAGGCCTGGGGAACAAACCAGTCAGGAAAGGATTTATGTGTATCGACAGTGGCAAACTAGTTTATAAATAAAAGCTGAAATGATGTAGTGGAGTGCCTTAAAAGACAACTGGATATAATTCAGTGCATTCTGGGGAGGCGCTGTAAGTTTTAGAAAGGGGAATAGCGAAGTAAATGTGATGTTTAGTCTGGAAGTGTAATGGCGGATACATACAAGATGAATATGAATTAGTAGCAAGGAGACATTTAGATGTTTGTTGGAATAATCGTCCAGGCATGCAGTGTTCATTGCCTACACTTGGGGGTGACTGCAGAAATAGAAAAGAAGAGACGGTTGACAGAAAACCATTCTAGAAAAAGAATGGAAAAGTAAGAGCAGGGAAGAAGAGGGATTATTCAAGAATGACTTTTTAATATTTTAAAACTAGATGATTGAGAAAATGAAACTATGGATATTTTCCCCAGCCTTCCCTATCTCTATGCTTCCCTAAACTTCCAGTTTATCATTTCTGGTCCCAGCCTTAGATCTATTTGAGTATCGTCAATCCTGAACACCTTCTATTTCTCCTCCCTTCTGCATGCATGACCATATGCAAACACCCACCTGCAGCCTGTGTTTCAACTTGAGTGAGCCTCCTGTTGTCCCTGAGATGCACCATGACCTTTTCACCTTTGTGCAGTTCCTAAAGCTTCCTTTCCCTCATTTTATTCTGGGCAAATTACAACTCATCCTTCTGGGTACAGCTTATGTGTTGCCTCCTTTGCAAAGCCGTCACTAATTTCTCAGAGTGGTCAGCCATTTCTATGTATTCTAGGAGCATTTTACACCTACCTCTGCTGTAGTGCCTAAGGAGATCCATTTTATTATATGTTTCTTTATCAGTCTTCTGCTCCATTTGGTAGTTTTATAAGAGTGGGAACCAATATCTAATTAGCTTTGTGTCCACAAACCTACTGTAGAGGCTAATCCGTACTAAATTGTTCAACAAATGTTGTATTTCGGCTTCCAAGATATTGAACCTGGGACTTACTTTCTGGGCAGTATATTAATAGTGATCTAAAAATTCAAAATAATTTCTCCCAAAGGTACAAAGCTGTTACAGATGCCTGTTCTCTTCAGCCAGATATTGACTTACTACCTTTTGGAGACCAAACTGAAATTGGAGAGAGGGTGAGCTATGTATAGTTTAAACAATAAACAAAAATCTAGAAAAGTCTTCTGGTTGTCTTTAACCTTTAATGGAGCATAATGAAATCTGAGAGTATAGGAGCTGTGTGTTGTCCTAGTGACAGGTTCCAGAAACAGGAGCACAGGAGCTTTAATTCCACTCTTAAGTATTTGTTGGGTAACCACCATCTATGTAACATCATGCTAGCTACTAGAGAGTTCTTAAGGAATATAAAGCAGTTCCTGCCTTTGATCAAATGTATTTTTCCTTACTTGGAGTTGAAATTGAGATTATTTCTGACTTCTTCCACTCTTGTCCACATCTATTTATTCTTGTTAACGTGTCCTTTTTTTTTTCTTTGTGTAAACATGTTTTACAGTGATGTCATACTATTCTGGGCAGCTAAAAAATATTTATGCCTGTATATAATCTTTATAACAATTTTGGCTAAAATTTTTTGACCCTTATAGGTTTCAAGTACTGGGCAAAAATTTTATGCATTATCTATGTTTACAGCAAATTTGTTATATGGGTGTTATCATCTTCTGCATATTGCAGCTGAGGAAACTAACCTGAGAAACGTTGAAGAACTTGCCCAGTTAGCGGTGTAGCTGGGATTCATCTAACTCTGTAGTCTGTGTTCTTAATGCCTATTCTTGATTGCAGCACAGTATAGTATTTAAGAGTATGGACTTGTAGTTTCCTCGTGTGTAAAGGGAATGATACCTATATATTGGAATTGCTATAAGGAATAGAAGAAATAAGGAATGTAAAGGCATTCACACAAGCCTAGCACATACCAAGTGCTCCATATAGTTTAAAAATGTTTATAATTAGTATTTGATTATATAAATTATAATTAGTACTTGATATATAGTACTGCTATATAGTTCTGTTGAACATAATTGGTAATATCAAATTTAAGAGGTATATGTTAAGTAAGCTACAGACACAATTCACAAAACTAGTAAAAATTCTGGAGTTACTTGCTGTGTTTAGCACTCAACTCACCATGTGTTTGGTTATTGATATTTTTGTACAGCAGAGCTGTCTATCAGAGTGAAAAAAGGATTTATGTTAACAGTCAAAAATTATCTTAATATAAAGTATTGACCAGTACTTTATAAAGTATTAATATAATTATAAAGCATTGACCAGAAAATAGACAATTTTCATTTTACCTTAACAATGTTATCACAATTTAATTAATAAATTACCATTAATTTAAGATTTTTTAAAAAGAAGTTTGTATTTTAAAGAGAATTTTTACTATTGGAAAGGGTGGATGTTTATGGTTATTTCTTCTCTAGGGCATCAACCTGAGTGGGGGTCAGAGGCAAAGAATCTGTGTGGCACGAGCTCTCTATCAAAATACCAACATTGTCTTTTTGGTGAGAATATGACCTTTATTTCTACCTCATTTTTCCCTCTGGACAAATGAGCCTTTAGAGACAAGTCAAGTGACTGAAGGACAGACAGTTTAACTTCTGAAATCATAAAGAATATAAAGGAAACAAAATTCCATAGTCCAAACATAAGGTTGAAAGTTGGGGTATCCGGATTGGTGTCCAAGTGACTTAGGTGCCCTAAATTGTTGCTTATATGAGTTTCATAACCATGAGGATCATTAATGAAAAAGTCTGTATGGTGTTGGATCAACTGGACAGGATCATGTCTTCTCATTTATATTTGCTGACAAAAAAAGGACTAGAAAATATACTCTTGGTGGACAGAGAGGTAAAGTGAGCATAGTACTCCATTACAGTGGTATGCAATTCAAGCTGTGCATGAGCTTTGACTGTGAAGCTTTCTAAAACTATAGAAATTTTGGTACCACTCTCGACCTACCAAATCATAATTTATGAGGGTAGAGTCTAGAGTCTGAATCTTAAAAGAGCTCCTTGGATGAATCTCATGTATATCCTGGGTAAAAAACTTGGTTCTACCTATGGATCCATAAACAGAATTTGATGGTTATGTTGATTATGAATTTTGTTCTAGTTTGGTTCCTCCAGCAGGAGGTAGCCAAAATAACTTAACTTACAAGTATGTATATTAGAGACCAGTAGACTATGTAAATGCATTCTTCCTCTGCCTTCTCCTTCTGTGCAATTATTCACCATTTATAAATCTGGTTTCCAGACTTACTTTAGAGTTTTCACTCCATCTAATATCTAGAAGCTCTTCAAAAAGTAGGTTGGTTTTGGAGTTTCCCACTAAATTTGGATCTATTGCTGGGGATAGGAATAAAATTTGGACACACTGGAAATGGTTAATATCCCTAAGAATACCTGTCCCCAAAATTTTCCAGAAAAACACACCATTAAAACCAAAGCAGGATCTAGCAGTAACTTATGTAATTGTAAATCCCTTTCACAGTGGATAGACCCATAACTGGCAATGACTTCTCGAATTTGGGGATCATTTAATGGCTGACCTACCTGAAGACCAAATGACTTGGGAATCTGAAAGAGACCAAGGTTCTCTGGGTGTAGTATTCTATCCTGTTCATTCCATTGCCATCAATTTAATGACCCTTACTTATTTCAGTTGTAGAGTCATGGAATTCAAAGAAGTCATAGGATTAATTTATCGTAGATTCCCATCCATTCTTTGTAGGATTACTTTTCACATCGCCTCTAAGAGCTTTTTTTCAAAAGGACCTGCGCCCAACGTGGGGCTCGCACCCACGACCCTGAGATTAAGAGTCTCGTGCTCTACCGACTGAGCTGGCCGGGCACATGCCTTTAAGAGCTTTTTGATGACTCTCTCTCAAGACAGATTGCTTAACTTCAAGGTGGCCTTTTCCTTGTTGGTCAGTGTATAAATTTCCTATTGCTGCCATAACAAATTGCCATAATTGGTGATTTAAATAATATGTACAATGTGATGGTTCTGTAGATTAGAAGTCCAATATGGATCTCACTGAGTGAAAATCCACGTCAGCAGGACTGTGTTCTCTTCTGGAGGCTCCAGGGGAGAGTCCATTTCCTTGCCTTTTACAACTTCTAGAGGCTGCCCACACTCTTAGGCTCATGGCCACATTCATCATCAAAGCCAGCAACTTTGTATCTCTGACCTTTTTTACTACTCACATCTTCCTCTCTACACAGCTGGGAAAGTTCTCTGCTCTTGAAGATTCATGTAATTAGTTTGGACCTATCTGGATTATCCAGAATAATCTTCCAATCTCAAGGTCTTTAATCTTAATCATATGTGCAAAGTCCCATTTACCATGTAAGGCAACGTATTTACAGGTTCTGGGAATTAGGACACGGACATCTTTGGGAGCTGTTATCCTGCCTACCACGGATAGCTCTTATTGGAAAGTTAGTATATGATTAAAATTTGCTTCTGTGGATTTTTCATTAATTGGTTTTCCTTCTGCTTCTGCAGCAGCATGTATTTCTTTTATGCAGCCATATTCAACATTTTAATATTATTTCCACAACTTGCCTTAATTTACTTTTCTCTAAACTAAGCAAGCTTAGTATTTTTAATTCTTCCACAATAATATAATTTCTATAACTTTTGTTAATCCTGGATATAATAGTGCTCGTCAGAGTCCCTTTGAAAAAAATGTGTTCTAGATGCACTCTGGTCAGTTCAGATAACCTTTAAACTATTGGATCTTATGATCTAAATATTGTATGTACTTCATTGGAACCTGAAACTGAATAATATTTTAGCAGCAAAAAAGATACTGTTTATGTGTTTTAATAATTACCTCAAAATGATATCTTACACTTCCATTGTTTAAAAATTCACAAAGCACTCAGTGTTATCCCATCTGATTTTTACGAGTGTGCTGTGAGGGTAGATGGTATCCCCATGTTAGATGAAGAAACATATGCATAGAGTTCCTTACCCAAGGACTAATGACTAGTGAGTGGCAAAGTCTGGGCTAGAATAGCATGTCTGTTGAGTACTGTTTTTCTGATCAGCAAAGATTCTCTGGTATTAAAAATTATATATTACTGTCAAATTACTACCTATATTGTTCTATTTTCCCCTTCCTTTTGCCTTCCCCCCTTTATCTCCTTCTCTTCCTAGCTTCCTCCTTCCATTCCTCCATCTCTCTCTTCCCTTTTCCAACCCTTCCTCTTCCTCCCTTCCTTCCACCCTTCCTTCCCTCCTTCTTTCCATCCATTAATATTTAGTGAATGTCCTCAGTGCCATCTTCTGTGCTGGGTGGAGGAAACAAAGGAGAAAAAGACATTTCTCCTATCTTTAAGGACCTTGAGCAAATAATTACTTGGATGATGTTATGTTTTGCTTTAATTAACTTTATCATATGAGCCTTTGCACAATATCAAAGCCAAGTGGAAACATCTTAATGATGTTTCAAGTATATTAGTTATTTTTGAAGCTTTATGGCATCTATAAATGTACTGTGTGTATCAGTGAATATACTTATGTTATTTTCAAAAGTATATCCATGCAAAGCTTATACTACTTACACATTTTCATTGAATATAGGAAGAATATATTAGTGAGAACTGTATATATCTATATAAAAATAAATAATATGCTCTTGAAAATAAAGAATTGTTTATTCACTGAATTAGTCTTTTGACAAATTGTCTTGCTTTCTTTAAAAAAAGTATCTCCCCAAAATATTAATATACAAACTGAATCTTAAGGAATGATTCTCAACTCATCAAACTTAGATTTTTATTAAGTTGTAAAAAATATTACATTTGATTGTAACACCAAGATGCTCCATAATGAAGCTATGGCACATAAATGATAGCAACCACTCTTAAAGGCTTTCTGTGGTGTAGGCATGATTCTAAGTACATTAACTCACTTAATTCTCAGAACAACCCTATTAATTTTGGCATCATTGCTATTATTATTATTATTATTATTGCTATTTATGAATGAGGATGCTGAGGCTTTGGGGGATAATTTATCCAGAGTCACACAGTAATAGAGAAGCAAGGATACAAACCCTGATGGCCTGATTGCATAGCCTGTATTCTTTTTTTAAATTTTATTTTATTATGTTATGTTAATCACCATACATTACATCATTAGTTTTTTTTTCACAGTGCTTTTTTTTTTTATTCTTATGTTAATCCCCATACATTACATCATTAGTTTTTGATGTAGTGTTCCATGATTCTTTGTTTGCGTATAACACCCAGTACTCCATTCAATACGTGCCCTCTTTAATACCCATCACCAGGCTAACCCATCCTTCCACCCCCTCCCCTCTAGAACCTTCAGTTTGTTTCTCAGAGTCCATAGTCTCTCATGGGTCTTCTCCCCCTCTAATTTCCCACCTTTCATTTTTCCTTCCTACTATCTTCTTTTACTTTCTTTTTTTTAACATATATTATTTGTTTCAGAGGTACAGGTCTGTGATTCA